GTGCAGCCTCGGTGCGCTTCCAGGAACGCACTGCAGCGTCATTGCCATCCTATACCCTGGAGATCTGTTGAAGGCTGAGGGACAGGTGTGCAGGACCTCAATCCGGCACATCGACCCGCAGACCGGTAAAGGGTATCACCGCGACGAGGCCGCCCGCGTGCTAAAGTAAGTGCTGAATTGTCGTCGATGACCCGCTTGTTAGTCGGCGACACAGGGTATCACACGCTGACCGCCTCCCCCCACCGCGGTGCTTCAGGTTCTTCCGCACGGCTGTCCTGGCCGAGCTGGGGCGTCCCGGTAGGATGTGGGACTGGGCGCCGCCATCACAAGCAGTGGTGGAGGTCAGGCTGGCCGACTGCGACCACCCTATCCGCGATGTGAGTTGCACGTTCAAGTCGCAAGGGGGGGGTGCCCGTTTCTGAACGCTCCGCTCATCATGTTCCGTGCTTGTATGCAGAAAGTGCCGGGCACAGTGTCGGACGGGCATGTCGGTGCCGGCGTGCTTTCCGCGACGTCGTTCGGGTGGGTAGCAAAACAGATCGACCATCTGACAGGCGAGAAGGGTCGTCGTGGGGTGAGCATCGAGAGCATCGGGATGAAGGGGCTGAAGGCTTTGCGCGACAGCATGGTTGAGTACGTCGGCAAGGTCATTGCCGTAAAACGCACCGCGACGCCGACTTCTCAAGCCGCCGGACCCGCCGACAATGCCATAGATGACGACGTCGCGGAAGGACAGAAGGCGCCCCAAGGTGCAGTTGCCGCCCAGCATCATGGGAACGCGAGGGTGCATGGGGAAGGTGGAAACGGTGGAGGAGGCGACGCAGAGGCAGGTGCAGGAAGGTCGGAAACGGAGAAGTCGTCGTCGTCGTCGTCGTCGTCGTCGGAGTCGGAGTCGGAGGAGGAAGACGAGGCGGTGAAGCGTAAGGACGAGGAGGAGTATGAGGAGGAGGAGGAGGAGAATAAGGACGAGAATGGTGAGAAGTGGGAGGGAGGGAAGGATGAGGAGGGGGGGGATGAAGAGGTGGAGTTCGTGGTGGAGTATGTAGAGGGTACGGTTGAGGCGGGAGCGGCGGAAGAGGCGGTGGGGTCGGCAGATCAGGGGAATGAGGAAGAGAAGGATGACGGCGTGGGAAATGCTACGAGGTCGGCAGATGTGGGGAAGGAGAAGGGCGAGGTCGGCGTGGAGGCACCTGGAAATGGCCTGGATGAGGCGGCCTGCGAAGGAGGTGGGAAGGTGTCGGTCGACGCCGGCGAAGGGCCGAACAACACGGGCGAGCAGGAGGCCGGGGAAGCACCTGGTCGGCACGGCCAAGAACTGGACGACGTCGAGGTTCTGCGACGGGAAAACTGGTTGTTGCGGGCGGAGAACGCTCGGCTGGCGTCGTTGCTCGATGCGGAGCGGTCCCGGCTGGACGGTTTTTTTGTTGGGGTCAGTCGACTCGTCGACCACGTTAAAGGGTTGGCCGAGCAGGTCGACGATACCGACAAGTATGCCGCGGAACAGCTGCGAAACGCGACGGAGGCCATGTCGAAGACCATCACGGGCAACATCTCCGGCAGCTTTGACGAAGCGTGGAAGTCGATGAAGACTTTCGCGGAACATGCGACGGAGTGGTTGGAGGACTTCGACAATCCGGAGGGTCGTGTCGCGTATGCACGAGCGTTAGCGGTCTCCTCCTTGGCCAAACACGTGGATTCGGTGGTGGGCGATGCGAAGAAGGGGTTAGAAGAGTACATCTCGAACCACCTTGCCTCCGCGCAGGTCAACATCGCCACCGCTTTGACCGCCAGGCTCGCCGTGCCGCCGCCGCCACCGCCTCATCCCACGCCGCGCGCCATCCCAGAAGAGATTTTGAAGTCGTTCAAGGCCGACATCCTGAAGGCGGTGACGGAGGCCACCCAGCAGTCTTTTGTTGCTTCCGGGATGAAGATCATGACAGAGATGATCGGCACTGTGGCGCCTGGTCGACGTGGGTCGTCGCCTTCGGCCAATGACGCCGATAACGCGCAAAGAAAAACGGCCGAGAAGCAGGGCCATAAGAGGACCGGCGACGGAGACGACAAGGGGAGCTCGAAGCGGAGCAAGGGAGCGGACGGTAGTTTTGGGTCGAAGCCTGCGCAAAAAAGCGTGGTCGACCAGCTGAAGACGAAGGCGGGGTGGAAGGTGGTAAGGACGTCGCACAGCAAGGGAGGCGGAAGCGGGGGAGCAGAGGGTGGCCCTGCCGACGGGGTTGCCGCTAACCTAGCTGCTCCGACTGGCCCGCCTTTGGTCGCCGAGCAGACCCATCCTCAGGCGAGCGGTGGGAAAGGCGTTACCGACAAGGAGGTGCCAACTGCTCAGGCGGCGAATGATGGTGACTCCGGAACCACCAAGGGACCACCCGTCGCGGCGGCGGCCAAGCCTGCTTCTGCTACGGTTGCCGGCACCACCAAGTCGAGTCCCCGTAACCCCCTTGCGGCTACTAGCGCGCCTGCCGGCCAGTCAGGTGCGAACAAAGATGGCGAGGCTGCTCCAGCTCCAGCAGCCCCGACTGCCGCCAAGGTTGTCGCGAAGGTTGCTTCGGCTAAGGGTGATGCCATGGCATCAGCTAAGGCCCCCCCCGGTGGTACCGCGCTCAGAGAGATGCTCCGCCGCATGGAGGCACATAGCAGGGACGTGCAGCAGCATCCCGTGGTCGACGCCGACCTTCCTGGAACAGCACGCCGCTCCGTCACTACGCAGGTTGCCGGCAAGTCGTCCGGTGCCCCACCTGCCGCGCCTCCGGTGGCCGCCCCACCGCCTGCGGACCCCAAGTCCGATTTTCTTCGCGCCCATTTAGGCGCACGCAAAGCAACTGCTCCGTCAGTGACCCTGCCGGAACTCGGCAAAAGCGCGGCGCCGATGTCGGTAAACGCGACCGCACCCACACCAGGTGCATCTGTGGTCGATGTGGCGGCGGAGAAGGGAGTGAGTGCAGCGCTCGCCACCGGCGGCCGCGCAGACAAGCATGCCGACCTCGCTGTCGTCATGGCCCATTTTGAGGCAGCAAAGCGCCCCGAGCACGCCCCTATTATGGCCATCATGGACACGGCACATGTGGTGCCGTCGGCGACCCACCGAGGGGGTTCGACGGAGCAGACGGCCGCAACGGCTGCTGTCGCCGAGATAAATGCTGGACGGAAGGAAAAGGACGACAACGGGAAAGGGAAGGCGGTCTCTCAGAGGAGCACGCGGGCGATGACTGCGGGGAAGTTGACGTCGGAAGAGAAAGGAAAGAAGGCGGAAGGGGAGAAGGACAAGACGGGCGGCAAGGGTAAGCCGGCGAAGAAGAAGGAGAAGGCGGAGGAGGAGGACGAGGAGGGCGGCGAGGGAGATAAAGAGCATGGACGCAGGGGTCATGGCATCCGCCGAGACAAGGCTGGCGACGGGCAAGGGTGGGTGGGCGAAATTAAGGTACACGGACAGAATCGGTACATCGGCAAGTCGAGGGAGAAGATGGAGCTGGCCTACGAGCACGCGATTGCGTTCGTCGTCTACGACGGCTACGTGAGCAAGGTGCTCATGAAGGAGCTCACCGTCTTGAACCCGGGGGAGTTGGATAAATGGAAGGAGGTGTGGGCGGAGGTGAAGTTGTTGCCCACTGGGATGTGGACGGTGATGTGGGCCAGAGGCTTGTGCCATCCGAGAGCAAGGTAAGACGGATACTGACGTGCCGAGTTATGTCGACCAAGTTGGTGTCAAAACGCTGAAGTCCTGTCGTTTTAATGTGTTTGCGCGGCAGGTTCGACGATATACTCGGCAGGTACCGTGGGTACGCGAGTTCGGGTGTTGCGCTTCATGACGTGCTCTGGCCGGCGATCTGGTTCCCCATCGTCGAGGACGCGGAGGAAGGCAAGGAAGAGACGAACGCTCTCATGTCGGCGATGGTAAATCGCGTGTCGATGTGCGCGGCGTATGGGAAGGTCGCGGCGAGCGCGGCGTTTGGGAAGGTCGATGCGAGCGTGGAGGGGAAGGCGGACGAGAAGATGGAGATGGGGGCCCAGGCGTTAGCGGCATCGGCATGCGCCATCTGGTGCTTCTTGGAGACGGGGGCGTTGGTGCTCGGTGCTGTGGGCGAAGGGAAGGCGGCGGCGATGGTGGCAGGTGCGGGGGAGGCGAGGGCCAAGGACTTCAAGGAGGTGATGCACGCGGTGATCGACATAGCACGCAGCAGGCAGGCTCCCGCTGGGGAGGTTGCACATAACGTCGCGCCATCGCTGCAGAGCCAGGCAGTTGCCAGGGCCTTCGCGAAGGGAGTTGAGGAAGTCGAGGCCGACATGATCGCAAGAGCGACGGTCGAGACCTTGGCGTTCTGGGGAATGTGCCCCGTCGCCGGGCCCAAGCTCAAAGCGCAGGGCATCGATGTGCCGTGTGACGCGAGGATGGAGTACGATATGGATCACAGGGGGAGGAAGGGGGAGAAGGTCAAGCAGAGCAAGGGCAGCAGCAAGAGGAAGAAGAGCAAGCAGGGCATGGGCAGTACGGATGCGTAGTTGGCGGGCTGCGGTGTGCAGGGCACTATTGTATGGTTGGCGCCGATGGCCAAGTTATTCTAATGACTTTTGTATCGTAGGGCACGAATCTTTTTCCGTTTTTTAGTAAATCACTGTCCACATTGAAACTTGCTAGCCGACTTTGAACGATGCGCCTTGTCGGCGCATGTGTCGACATCAAAAGGAACATCCTACTCGGCGAGCAGCGATGATAGACGGGGTTGACACATGCTATTCCGCGACGAGATATGTCGGCGAATATGTCGACGCCCTATCGACATGCAATCGTGCGAGACGTCGACATGAATAAGGCACAATGAATTGCAAACACATGGTGGCGACTATGTCGGAGTCCGACATATCTGGTTCGGATGTATGTGTTGGATCATGTATGTTCGTGTTGCATCACCATCAACAAGTACAATGGGAACACATATGTTGCTAAATTAGGGCATCAACCTACGCTAACACATATGCACCGAGGATGTTCATGCCGACTTCTTGCGCTTTGACGGAGGACGCTGCGCAGGTGCGGTCTGCTTAGCCAAGTCGGCCTCGGTCTTCGGCATCTGCTCCTCCCAGGTGTCTGGAAACAGGCGGTCGACCCACGTCGTCGGCTTCAGCTCCAGCGCCACCAGCGCACAGGCGAGGCGTAGCTTCGAGACCACCTTGGGGCCAAGCCCCTTGACGCCCATGCCAGGCTCCTTGGACATCGTCGGTGCCGTCTCCGGGTTGAGCACCGTGAGGGCATCGCAGAAGGTCCCAATGCCCGGTGCCGCGATCGTGTTCAGTGCATCGACCACGGCTTCGGTGTCGGCATCGCCGTCGCTCGCGCGTAGCTGGCGCACCGCATCCATGGCCTTCAGCATGCGGCGCACCCTCATGTTGAGTGCACCCTGGGTCGCGCCTTTGAGGAGGGTGTGGCGGTTGATGAACCCCGGCTCGGCGACCCTGTCGCAAAGACGACGGGTGTCATTGGCGGTGGCGGAGTTCTAGAGGCGCCAAGCGTCCCGCACGGTCTTTGAATCCCGCCACGGTTGCACCACGTTGAGCTCGTAACTGGCCTCCTCTGCCGTCTGGGGGGGTGGCGGGGGTTTCCCATCATCTCTCTTGGCTCCGGTCCCCGTGTTGGCCGAATCCGCGGAGCCACCCTCGCCCGGAGTTTGATCGGTCGCCGACGGCGGCGCCGCCGGCATCCTCCGGGCTTCTGACACACGGAGTGCCTCGGTGAGTCGAGCAAGCTCGGCGGTGAGTGACGCGATGGTGTCGTTTTGCTTCTCGATCGTCTCCTAGTAGCCTAGCTTCTCGAGCGCCGAGCGCTCGACCTCCTTCTTCAGCGCCTCCTTGAGGGACATGTTGTGATACTGGGTGTCCATGCGCACGGATATTTCCTGCAATGTTGAGTGTGCGGAAAGGCGAGAAGAGGTTAGAAGTCATCGGCTAAAATTCAACGACGCCGACATGGTCGGCGACTCACCTCCGGCTGAATCTGAGGTGGGTCCCGGCGCTTTTTGATCGTATCGGTGTCGACCGACTCGACCCTTTTCGCCCAGTGCTGGAAGAGGGCAATCCTGCAGAGCTTGGAACCTTGGACGTACGGGTGCCACGGTGTGCGGACGAGCTTCACCGCGAGGTCCTCAGCGACGATTCGTCGGAACATCACGAGGGTGCGCAAGAAGTGCACTGCGGCTGCATCGGCGTCGCTCCCGTTGACGGCACGCGTCTCCGCCTGCAAGTCGGAAAGTGGCGTGGGTTAGTAGGGAGTTGGGCAGCCAACTAGGCGACGACGACTGAAAAACATTGTCGGCGTCGCGTGACATACATCGCGCATCATAGCATCCACGCCGGGGAAGATGTGCTCGGCGAGCAGGTCCAGGAGTTTGTCGGAGGGCTCGACCCTGCTGCGCCCCAAGAAGTAGTCTTGCTTGAGTCCCGAGTAGCCGGCCTTCTGCATCACCACCCCAACGGGAATGGCCGTGATGTACGCACGCGTCATCTTGTCGAGAGCCCAGTGTCCCAGCTCGGCGATATGGGCGCGCGGCGTCCCTCCGATGGCTAGCTCCTGCGCACCACCGGCGCGGGCGGCGTGCACGTTCCTTTTGCAGAACACCTTGTTGGTCCTCCACATCTGCCGAGTCCAACGTTGGTGGGTGGCGGAGGAGAGCTCCTCCTGCTCCTTGTCGTTTCTGGCGAAGAAGAGATGCTTCTTGTACCAGCGTTCGCGTTCTGTGGTGTCAAGCGGCGAAAGGAAGTCGGTGCCGGAGAACTGACCGATCTGGTCGAGGATGAAGTGCAGCCACAGGCCGGTCTCGCCGACGACGCACAGCTCCGCTTCCAGGTGTCGCGCAGCGTAGCTCTGCTGAAGACGGGCATCCTTGGAAGTCTTCGAGTTACGCGCAGCGATCACCATGACGACCGGCTGGCTATCCGGGTTCACCTCCGAGGTGCTCGCCAGGTGGTACAAGAAGACGTCCGGGAGCGTGATCTCGCGGATGCTGGCGCCGCGCAGGAGAGTGTGGTGGGAGAGTAGCGTGAGCACCTTGATGAGCAGGAATCGCCACAGCGTCTGCGACGGAGTGGTAGCCCGCGGGTTCCACGCCGACGCCGCCCATGTCGGCAGCACCCTCATCATGATCTGGCGGAACTGCTCGGCGGTGTAGGTATCGCCGATGGTGCCGCGTCGACGGTCGGCGCAGTTCCTGAACGCAAATCGGCGGGGAAAATCTGTTAGACTGCGTCGACTTCAAAGTGGACAGTGATATATAATAAGGTTGTCGACCAACTTACTTGATGTCCCTCTCGTTCTTGTGGCGGACGTTGAACCGCACCTCCGATCTCACCACCGAGATCTCCCTCATGATGCCCAGCTCCTTCTCTCGGTACAGCGTCGCCTCCACCCTCGCCGCCATCTGGCATGCCTTTATGCGGCCGAGGATCGTGTGCACAGTTGTCGACCTCACAGGCCCCGTTCGCGTGGCATTGTTCTCCTCCCCGGGCTGGTCAGCAATGAGGTTACACTCACGGCTCATTTGCTTCACGTAGGGGCGCAGCCGGGCTTCGGTGACCTTAGGGCCGTGCAGCCAGATGTACTCTCGGCGGACCACTTTCTCGTTGCACCAATCCTTTTTCTTGTTGTCGCGGATGTAGTGGCCGATCTCGTCGACGTGCCTAAGTCGTTGCTCATGGGGTAGCTTGTCGCGTATCTGCTTCAGCATCTTCGCCGCCCACTTCTTGTAGTGGTAGATGAACGCGGTGTACAGCCTGAGCGTGCTATTCTTCTCCAAGCATTGTAGGTGTCGTAGGGCGTCCATTATGAGCACGTCAATGCTGGAGTACACCATGTCGTCCACTACAAAGTCCGTCGCCTTCCACCCTTCGCGCGGCACCGCCATGTGCTGATTGTCCTCCTTCTCGTCTTCTTCGAGCATGTCACGTATGTATTCAAATTCCCGCCTAAGGCGTTCTTCCAAGGTGCACGGATTTGTGCTACGCGGAGGACGGTCGTCGACTTCGTCGTCGCTCTCTTCCTCGTCCTCGTCGTCGTCATCATCTTGGTTTTCCGAGCCGGCCGGAACCGACGAAGGTCCAGGCTGCCCATCTTCCGTCGGTGTCGACTTCTTCGTAAACTCCCCAATTGGCGGAGTCGGTATGTCCTTGGTGTACACCCCTTCGGGAATCTGAGTAAGTTTGTCAAGATCGTAAAGCAACTTCAGCGTCTCTACGGGGGCAGAGGACGGACTGTGGTCGGTTGGGGTACCAACGTCGGGCATGTCGACGTCGTCCATGACCGCTCGTATGCTCTACCGCCGGCCGTGGAAGAGGGAAAGATTGGTAAACCAGAGACGGAAGTGATTCACGTCGACGCCTTAGTGCCGACCGAAGTCTATTCCAGGTCGACGCCTGAGTGCCGCCGCTGGGTCGACTCGGCCGTCGAGTAACCTAGACCCGCAGAGACAGCGAGGGTCCTGTGAAGAAAGCGAAGTGCCAGATGGCGCACAGGAGCACGAGAGAAACACGAAGCGGAACAGGCAGAATGAGAGCGTTGTGCGTGGTCAAAGAGGGGTATGGATGCGGGCCACTGTGCACCTACCGCGCTCCACGCAGCCTTCTTTGCAAGCGCAGCAGTGCACGTGCATGACGTGTCACGATCGATGCATGTTTTGTGTCACGCCGCTTTGCGCTCAACGGCACTCCCGCCGGTGCCTTGCCACGGTGGAATTCACGTGCGCCACTTGCAATAGGTGCAATAGGCCAATCACCTAGTTCCACTCTCCCGAAATGCCGTAGCGTCCTGCTCTCCCGCGCAAACCTCATCGACCTGCGAGTAGGCGCGTGGCCGGAGGCCCGGTCGACGCCGACATTCCCTGAGTCAGGGGCTCTCTTCGCCTATGCAGGGTTTGGTCCGCACAGAACCATCCGTGTGGGTCGTGCTGCTGCGGTTGGATCTTCGGTCGACATCGACATCTCATTACCACGCGTTCTCTGGCTATCTAGATGGTGGACACATGTACATGCCTTAGCCAGTCGGCTTTCGCCGCGTGGACGATGGTGACATTTTTCATCGGCGGGCCAAGTTTCGCGCGCAGCAAAAGATACAGGTGCTGCGAAGCGGGGCCACGTCGGCGTCGTTGTGGCACCTCCCGATTGTCAGGCTCGATCTCGGCCGTCCTTACTAGGCCACGTGGCCGTAATCGCGGCTCGGCGCACGACGTGTGGAGCTGTGGTTCAGGGTCCGCTGAGGTATCCTTCTCAGGTTTCTCTCAGCGAATATCGAGGTCGTCAGGTTGTCGACAATCCCGAGGGGTTGAGGGCCCCGGAGGACTGCCAGGTCGCCCCAGTTTGCCACTCGGATGTCGTCAGGAGCTGTCAATCCCGAGGGGGTTCGTTGTCCTATCGCCACCGCGAAATTGGGCGGCCGTTTTCGTCGGCTGAGGTATATCATCCTTTACTGTACGCCAGCAGGTTTGTTGGGCGGATCCAGCGCGTACGTTTTCAGCTGGTGTACAGCTCGTTCTGTGCGGTTGATCGTCTTCCGTCACGGTGCAAAACGGTGAATTAAAATTACCGCTGTGCACCGTTTGATATCGTTTTGAACCACGATATCAGTAAATTATCTGCAAGTGTACGGCTGGACCCCCGGAATGACAAATGTGGACGCAGACCATACGTCATTGAGGACGAAATCATCTACAGACGCACGCGGCTGTAAGTGAGGGAAGGTGAGGGACCAGCTGGCAAGGGAAGGCACCAACTGCCTGGCAATATGAAATAGTGATCCTATCCTACCCCCAGCACATCATTGCATAACCACCTTTTCCTCGAGTAGCAGTTGTGGCGAGGCGATCACCATAGCTTCCCGCGGGGCAGTCCCAATACTACTGTACGCTCACCGCGACAGACCGACTCGCCGGAATGGCGACTGTTCGGGGATTAGCTTGGAAATGTCTGAAGCAAATTTCAGAATGCAACCTGAACGGAAAACGTAGTCAATTCGAAGTTTTTTTCCTGCTGAGAACGTGCTGGGACGGATGAGTTACTTCTGCATCTCTCGCCGCTGTTTGCGGGTTCAACCAGGGACCACAAGTATTCTCTGTGTCGCGATTTTCCTACGGGTTACGTTTCTCCTCTATCTCGTACCGTTCGTTCGCGTCGCTGACGGTCTCGTCGACTGTTATAACCTAACAAATTCAAGTATGCTCCGCCTCTCCCGTTCTTAGTATCCCCAAATTTACTGCTTCGTCGTAAGCACAATCGTAGCGACGGCTCTCTACTCAGTCCGACTGAGTCAAATTTCAACCCTCGAGAGATCTCTCTCGCCAGGCGTATTTAGATTTCCACATTCTATACTCGTTTTCATTCCGTTGATTCTATCCTTTTCTTCCTCGTCCCATTGCAAGTCCTTTTTAATCGTGTGCCCCATTCTCCTCCTCCCGTTTTGTCGTTCAAGCTGTACATATTACTACCGCCAACGTGCTAAAAACTGGCAAAGCTGCATCTTTAGGGTTTCCTTTCTACTATCCCGCTCAGTTACCCTATAAATCTCCAATTCTTTTCCATTATACCCCATCTTCTTGGCCGTCACAGGTGAATCGTCAAACCTCCTCTCGAACCCAAGCTTCGATACAAGCTGTCTCGACACAGGGCGTCGCAAGAAGCTGAACTCTTCGTGCCAGCCATGGCCGTACTTATTCCCGTGGCGCGCGTTTGAGCCTGGAGAAACATTCTTAAACAACGATATCTTAGCCACCGCATCTGGCGGCGGAAATCGCGGAACGTCGCTTGCCCCAGCGGGCCCAACTCTGGCGGAAGCTTTTGCGACAGCAAGCAGGGCAGCGCCGCCTGCTGACGTGTCAATAGTGAACGGGGTAGCGGGAGTCACGGACATCCTACTGGCAGCTGACGGCTCCCGTTTTTTACGGCTGACATTTGATATTTCCGTGTCGTCTAGTGGCGACGGCGCTTCCGGTACTAGTAGCAATGGTAGTGGTAACAATAGTAGCAGCAGCGGCCCAGGCGTGTCGCAAGCGCTGTGCGAACTCAAACCCGCGGCGCCCACGAGCAACGTGTCGCAGCAGGCGCAGCAGTCCCCGCGCCAGCTGTCCCTCTCGTTCTTTGCGCGCGCCAGCCTGTGCGCGGAGGGGGAAGGGGGCGCGGAAGGGGAGGCGGAGCGGCTGTTGAAGGTGCTGCTGCTGGCAGTTCCGCTGAACGCTTCCGCGGCCGCCGCGGCAGGGGGAGGGGCGGGGGAGCAGGTGTGGGGGGAGTGGCGGGTGGGCGTGCCGTGTGGGGGGGGCAGCGCGAGTCTGTCCGGCGCCTTGCCCTGGTTCCAAGTGGGACCCCTCCTCTTCCCCCTCCTCGAACCCCCCTCCGCCTCTTCTTCCTCCGCCTCTTCGCCTTCCTCGTTGGTAGTGCCTCCAGGGGGAGTGGCGCTGCACTTGGTGATTCGAGGCGTGCAAGGCAGTAACAGCAACAGCACTGCCACCGTCGCCACCACCAGCGGTTTTGCCACCGCCACAAGCAGCATAGTTGCCAGTAGCAGCAGTGACACCAGTAGCGTTGGCGCCAGCACCAGCACACGCAGCAGCAGCAGAGCAACACCAGGAGCAGGGGGAGCAGCGGGAGCGAACGCGACGGAAGCGGGAAGCACTGCTATCGACCTCGTGTCTGTCATGCCCGCTAGCAGTGAGTCAGAGAGGCAGCAGTGGTTGGCAGGGTCACGACTCACGGGTGTGTCACAGGTATGGCAGGAGGGAGCATGCGCGGCACACTGAAAGCATGCACGGCACACATCCTCTCAACATCCAAGTTCTAACCTCCCACAGCCCACTCCAGTGCATGATCAATCCATCACTCACTTGTGCTCCCACTCTTCCCCCACCGTCACCTCCCCCCCATCCTCCGCCACTCCCCATCCCCCCCACCCCACTGCCCGCAGCCGACCCTTCCCCCCTCAAGTCGTTCTCCCAGTGGCCCCTCTCCAGCGCCCACCCGCTCCTCACAGCCGGCTCAGCGCGCCGCAACCGCTCGTCGCTCTCCCTCACCACGCTCTCCGACCTGAATGCCGCATCCCTCGCGCTGCACCCCGCCCCCTTCGCCCTGCTCGCCCCTGCCACGCCCACCTCCCCCTGCCGCCCCTTCTCCTTCTCCACCTCCTTCACCTTCCGCATCTCCTCCCCCAACGCCGCGGGGCTGGGCGGCGAGGGCTTGGCGTTTGTGATGCTGCCGACGCCCACGCTCGGCCTGCCGGGGCCGTCCCTGGGCTATGGTCGTCTGCTGCTGCCCCCCGGGAGCACGGCTAATGCTTCTGATGATGGTTCCAGTGGCAGCAGTGCGGCAGTGTCATCTCAGGTACACTCTAACTCAGGTGGGCAGCAACTCAGTGTTTCACGTGGGCAGCAACTCAGTGTTTCACGTGGGCAGCAACTCAGTGTTTCACGTGGGCAGCAACTCAGTGTTTCACGTGGGCAGCAACTCAGTGTTTCACGTGGGCAGCAACTCAGTGTTTCACGTGGGCAGCAACTCAGTGTTTCACGTGGGCAGCAACTCAGTGTTTCACGTGGGCAGCAACTCAGTGTTTCACGTGGGCAGCAACGCACTTGAAGACTTACACGGGCAGAAACGCACACAGGTGGGCAGCAATGCATAAACTCAGGTTGTTACTCCGCTTGTCTTGTGAATGAACAGCTAAGCAAGAGAGTCTTGCTTGCGGCTCTCTCGTTCTCTCGCCTTCCTCCTCTGAAGTGCAGCAACACTGGAGCCGCGCAGTTAGAAAACTGAATTTCTCAACATGCCCCGTCCCATCCCCACCCTTCTCTTTTACAGCAGCACAGGAGTCTGGCAGTGGAGTTTGACACATGCGCCTCCCCGGAGTTCTGGGACCGGCAGGAGCACCACGTGGGGGTGAACGTGGATGGCAGCATGCTCTCTCTCGCCTCTGCCCCTGTGCACCCCGTCGGTATCCCCTCCCTCAACGCCGGCCGAACCCTCCTCGCCACCATCCAATACAACGCCTCCTCCTCCCAGCTCACTGTCTGGCTCTCCCCCGCCCCACCCTCCTCTTCCTCCTCTTCTTCCTCCTCCTCCCCTCCTCTCCCCCGCTCTGCTGTCCTCACCACATTCCTCGACACCTGCGAGTGGCTCGGTGGGAACGACCCGGAAGCAGCAGCAGCAGCAGCGCCACCCCCGGCGCTGTTTGTGGGCTTTACTGCGGCTACTGGCAAGGGGGGGGAGCAGGCGCAGGCGCACGAGGTGCTGGGGTGGAGTTTCCAAGTCGGGGAAGGTGAGTGAGTGGAGGTATCGTCATCCCTGTTTTGAGCGTATATCATAAGGGTGCAGGCAAAGGAAATGACCCTTGCATTACTATACCACCTGTGAGGAGCTCGTCTCGTGTGAGGAGCTCGTCTCGTGTGAGGAGCTCGTCTCTTGTGAGGAGCTCGTCTCTTGTGAGGAGCTCGTCTCTTGTGAGGAGCTCGTCTCTTGTGAGGAGCTCGTCTCTTGTGAGGAGCTCGTCTCTTGTGAGGAGCTCGTCTCTTGTGAGGAGCTCGTCTCTTGTGAGGAGCTCGTCTCTTGTGAGGAGCTCGTCTCTTGTGAGGAGCTCGTCTCTTGTGAGGAGCTCGTCTCGTGTGAGGAGCTCGTCTCTTGTGAGGAGCTCGTCTCTTGTGAGGAGCTCGTCTCTTGTGAGGAGCTCGTCTCTTGTGAGGAGCTCGTCTCTTGTGAGGAGCTCGTCTCTTGTGAGGAGCTCGTCTCTTGTGAGGAGCTCGTCTCTTGTGAGGAGCTCGTCTCTTGTGAGGAGCTCGTCTCTTGTGAGGAGCTCGTCTCTTGTGAGGGGTTCAGAGAAGATGACCTACAGGGATGCGTATCTTATCAGCACCAGCAGTGCTTGGCTCGGGGTGTGATGTCCTCATCCAAACCTTCACAGAAAAGTATAGATTCGACCCAGACCCAACGACCCAATCTCGTCCTAATCCTCACTATTCCGTAGGTGCCTAGGCTAGGTAGGGATGTAGAAAACAAGGAAAATTTATTCCCAGCGGAGCGTATGCGTTTCGGCACGGTGGCCTTCATCAGCGCTTATACCCTAGAAACAACATCAACCACAGGTCATGACTTGGCTCTGGGTGTGATGTCCTCATCCAAACCAAACCTTCACACGAATCCCCTCCCCCTTTCCCCTCCTCCCCGGCTCCCTCCTCTCCCTTGCACCCCCACTCCCCCCCCTGTTTCACACATCACATCACATCGTCAACCCCAGCAGCAGAGGATATGCTCCCGTTTTGGGCGGCAGACTCGTTCTCCTTCCGCTACATCACGCCAGCCACTCCCCTGCTGACACGTGGCAGCACAAGGAAGCGTTTCTTCGCCGCCGACCTCTCTGTCGCTGCTGATGTGGCATCCACCAGCCAATCAGACGACCCCGCTCCTGGAGCCATCTTCTTCCCTCGCCGTCTCCCCCTCCTCTACCCCTCCTCCTCCCCTCCCTTCCCTCCTCCTTCCGTTCCTCTTCCTCGCAGCTCCACCCGCTCCTCTCCTTCCTCCGTTCTCCAACCCTCAGCCTCCGAACCTCCCGCCTGCATGGCCCGCTCTTTCACCTTCACATACGGCTTTTCCATGAACGTATCCGCGTCTCAAGGGCTCGCATTCGTTATAAGCACGCATGCGAGTGTGGGCCTAGGCGGGGCTTATATGGGGTACGGCCGCGACCCGTCCTCGCGTCTTGCTAATGGCAGCTGGCCGGACGGCGCGCGGAGTGTAGCTGTGGAATGGCGCACTGTAACAAACCCAGAAGGCAATAGAAATGGTGTAAAGGTCGGGGTGACCACTGATTTCAACATGACATCGGTTTTTGCAAAGGAATCGCCTTATGTGATGGAGCCCGAGGAGGTGTGGCAGATGAGGGTTGACTATAACGGGAGCAGCAAGGAGATGGCGCTGAGCTGGTACCGGCCCCCTTTTCTACGAGGCATCATGAGGGTCACTATAGACCTGTGTGCTGCTCTCAGTGGGGCCTCTGACAGCAGCGGAAGCAGCAGCAGCAGCAGCAGTGGCAGCAGCAGCGGTGTGACGGACCCAGCATCGCCATCCTTCGGGCAGCTGTTTGTGGGGTTCACCAGCGCTGCTCTCCCTCCCCCCCCTGGCCGCCTGCCTTCCCCCGTCACCCTCTCCTCCTGGACCTTCAGATTCACAGGTAAAGGGGGAGGCGAGGGGGCGAGATGGCGGGGAGGGAAAGAGAGAATGGGTAGCAAGCCGCGTGCCCTGCCAGGCTGCCCCCATTGGCCTCTCCTCCTGGACCTTCCCGTTTACTTGGAAATTTCTAACCATCTGCGTGGAGGGGCTGGAAGCCTCTTTCCTACCGCTTCACCCCCCCCTTTTGAGGCGCCTCAAAAGTCCTCTCCTCCTGGACCGTCCGGTTTCCTTCGAACTTTCTATCCATCTGCGTGCGTGGAGGGGCTGGAAACCTCTTCCCTCCCGCCTCGCACCCCCCCTTTCCACTCCCCCATTCCCATCCTTTCCTTCCAAGGCCTCTCCACCGCTGCCCTGTGCCATGCCTGCATGCTCCATGCCCCACCCTTTCCCCGTTCCCATCCTCCCTCCCCCCCAGCAGACACTGACCCCTGCACGGGTTCTCCGGTGCTGCCCTGTGGAGCGGGCGTGTGCAGCAATGCACCAGCCCCATGGGACGTGTGCAGCAATGCACCAGCCCCATGGGACGTGTGCAGCAATGCACCAGCCCCATGGGACGTGTGCAGCAATGCACCAGCCCCATGGGACGTGTGCAGCAATGCACCAGCCCCATGGGACGTGTGCAGCAATGCACCAGCCCCATGGGACGTGTGCAGCAATGCACCAGCCCCATGGGACGTGTGCAGCAATGCACCAGCCCCATGGGACCCCTCTTTCCTCGTCTCTCATACCCACTCTCTCCCCACTCCTCGTCCGTCTCATACCCTCTCTCTCCTCACTCCCCCTGTCTGCCTCATCCCCTCTCTCCCCTCACTCTCCACTCTCTCACTCATTCCGTTCACACCCCCCCAACAGACACTGATCCCTGCAAGGCCTCTCCAGTGCTGCCCTGTGGAACGGGCGTGTGCACCAAGGCGCCTGCCCCATGGGACCCCTCTATCCTCGTGCCCTCCTGCAAGTGCCCCTTCAATCTTCCCTCCTTCCAACCCTCGCACCTCGCCGGCCTGCCCTCCTGCTTCCCCGGTGAGTCGTGGAGTGCCGTTGGCAAGCGGTGGGGTGCAGTAGGTGAGAAGTGTAGTGCGGTGGGTGAGAGGTGGAGTGCGGTGGGTGAGAGGTGGAGTGCGATGGGTGAGAGGTGGAGTGTGGTAGATACCCTTTTGGTTTGTGGATGGCATAGTATTGCACTCGTTCTCGATTCACAACACTCATGAGGAAATGCAAAAGTTCGTTCCCGTCAAATTTGAAATTTCCTTTATTGACCTGCTGTTTCTTTTTCCTTTTTTTACGGCTCTTGAAAATTCTTAAAAGTGTGCGTTCTAGTGCACTATGACCGCCTCTGCAACACCCCTTTTCTCCATTCCCCTCCTTTATCTCCTACCGCCCTTCCCCTTCCCTCTTCTTTTCCTTCCTCCTCGATTCCCCTTTCTCCTCCTCCCCTATTCTCCATCCCCCTTTCCCCTTGCCCACGTGTTTTGAGGCGCCTCAAAAGCTTTCCCCTTGCCCACGTGTTTTGAGGCGCCTCAAAAGCTTTCCCCTTGCCCACGTGTTTTGAGGCGCCTCAAAAGCTTTCCCCTTGCCCACGTGTTTTGAGGCGCCTCAAAAGCTTTCCCCTTGCCCACGTGTTTTGAGGCGCCTCAAAAGCTTTCCCCTTGCCCACGTTTCCCCATCTCCCGTCCCCTGTTCCGTTTTCCCACTGCCCCCTTCCCCCCCCCCACCCCCCCCGCCCTCTCACCAGATTCCTTCACGTGTCGCCAGCTCCCCCGCAACCCATGTGCCCCGGGGGTGTGCATGGATGACATAGACGGCACCTACTCCTGCCTCTGCCCCTCGCCCTTCTTCCCCTTCTTCTATTCGAAACGCACTACCCGCTGTTACCAATGTGCGTAACCACCCTTGCTACCTGCCTCTGGTCCCAAAGAGGAAGTAACTGGGTTTTTCCATCCCCTGCCTCTAGCCCTCGCTCTTCTTTCACTTTAACTTCGTCCCCAAAGAAACCAGCGAGTTTTGAGTGGACTCAAAAGTCTTAGGCACATTAGGTAAATTAATTTGAGTAAACTCAAATCAAAAGTCTTAGGCACATTAGGTAAATTAATTTGAGTGGACTCAAAAGTCTTAGGCACATTAGGTAAATTAATTTGAGTGGGCTTACTGTTAACGCAACCTTTCTGCTTGCATTGCAATCTGCCTGCCTGCCTGCCTGCGTGCCTGTCTGCCCCATGCTCACGCACCCCGTGCATGCATGCAGTGCGATCGTTTGAGCTGCGAGTGCCCACCTTCCTGTCTCCCTACGGTCTCACATGCCCTCTCATCCTCAACACTTACGGGCTCACCCAAGCGGCCTTCTTCAGCCAAAACAAGGTCTGAAAGGCTTTGGTCAGGAAGGTTTGGGCTGTGGTTGGGGTCACGGGACACATCACATCACATCACATCAACATCACATCACATCACATCACATCACATCACATCAGGCATCGCAACTCGTTTCCTCATCACGTGCCCCTTCATTCATCCTCAAACTCAACTATGTTCGTGGCGCCCAAAGAGTCCTCAACACTTACGGACTCGCACAGGGCGAATTCTTCAGCCAAAACAAGGTCAAGCTTTTGACGGGTTTCACAAAAGGTTATCAGTTCGTTCGGGTTACCACAAGTTACATCAGATCGCATGACATCACACAACCACATTGACATCACACAACCACATTGACATCACACAACCACATTGACATCACACAACCACATTGACATCACACAACCACATTGACATCACACAACCACATTGACATCACACAACCACATTGACATCACACAACCACATTGACATCACACAACCACATTGACATCACACAACCACATTGACATCACACAACCACATTGACATCACACAACCACATTGACATCACACAACCACATTGACATCACACAACCACATTGACATCACACAACCACATTGACATCACACAACCACATTGACATCACACAACCACATTGACATCACACAACCACATTGACATCACACAACCACATTGACATCACACAACCACATTGACATCACACAACCACATTGACATCACACAACCACATTGACATCACACAACCACATTGCCTTTCTGGTCACCTGCCCCCCCTCATTGCCCCTCACGGCCCCTCATTGCCCCTCACGGCCCCTCATTGCCCTCACGGCCCCTCATTGCCCCTCACGGCCCCTCATTGCCCCTCACGGCCCCTCATTGCCCCTCACGGCCCCTCATTGCCCCTCACGGCCCCTCATTGCCCCTCACGGCCCCTCATTGCCCCTCACGGCCCCTCATTGCCCCTCACGACTCCTCACTCCCCCCCAATTTTCGCACTTTCCCTCACTTTCCCTCACTGCCCTTATCTTCCCCTCATTCTTCCCGCCACCCATTCTGCCTGCCTCGTCCCATTCCCTCCCTGTTCTGACTGCAGAGCTTCCAAACTCATACCCCCTTCCATCTTGAGTTTGTAGTCATTCTTTTTCTGTCGACTACCCACGTTGCAACCCACCCAATCCGTCATCTCTCCTTTGATCGGACTGCAGGGCTTCCAGTGCCGAGCGCCCATCCCTGTGGAGACTGTCATCAACGTCACCAGCCGGGCTTACTCCCAATGCACCTCCATGTACACTGCTAATTATGTAAGTGCCGTTACGTTTATGTAAGTGCGATTGCGTTTATGTAAGTGCCAGTGTGGTTATGTAAGCGCCAATCCGAATATGCAAGCGCCAATCCGAATATGCAAGCGCCAGTGCTTTTCTGTAAGCGTCGGTGCGTTTATGTAAGCGCCATTGAGCTTAACCCCGAAACCAGCATTCTATTCAATGCTCACTGTGAATCTGCAGGGTGACTCGTGTGATTCCATCAATGCCCTCTTCTCCACGCCCATACAGCCGCTCAATTCGATTCTCCCAATAACCGCGCATCCTCTTCCCACTCCCTTCTAAACCCGACCTGACATGTGTGTCTGCAGGGTGACTCGTGTAACTCCCTCAACGCCCTTTTCTCCACGCACATTCAGTCGCTCAACCCCGCCCTCAGCTGCTCTGATGGGCCCCGACCCGGCCAGGTGGGTGCTGCAGATGATGAGTGGAGATGAGTGCAGATGAGTGGAGATGAGTGCAGATGAGTGGAGATGAGTGCAGATGAGTGGAGATGAGTGCAGATGAGTGGAGATGAGTGCAGATGAGTGGAGATGAGTGCAGATGAGTGGAGATGAGTGCAAATGATGAGCGCAGATGAGTGCAGGTGCATGTGGGTGCAAGTGGGTTTCGGTGACTATACCGTGTGCCTAATTGGGTAGAGGTGAGTGTAGGTGGGTAGAGGTGAGTGAAGGTGGGTGGAGTGGAGGTGAGTGTAGGTGGGTGGAGTGGAGGAGAGTGTAGGTTGGTGTCAGAGAATTCGGGTGCACAGCACACTGCATGTTAGATCAATAAGAGATCATCAGGGTAATGCCCCTCTTTTTACGGGCTTGAGGAATCTGAACTGTGGTTGCTGTTGCCGCAACATTCCTCTAGTTTGCTAAGGGTGGGAATCCCTGTTCTTCAAATCTGCCGTATTGGATATATATGTGCTGCTTGATAAATTATTGATTCATGATTGATGCCCCCAAGATGGGCTCTACTGCTCGCGGAAGTTCTTGCATCGCATCACATCACATCGCATCGCATCACACCACACCACACCACACCACACCACACCACACCACACCACACCACACCACACCACACCACACCACACCACGTCACGCCACGCCATGCCACGATGCGTCACACCACGTCACGTCACACACACCACATCACATCTTAGCACATCTTATCGCATCGTGTTGCACAATGCATTTAGGTCTATATTCGGCTTTGATCTCCATGTCCTAATAAATGGGCGTTTAATCACACATCCCTCTCCACCACCCTCTCCCCCCACTCCCCGTTCCTCCTTCCTCGTCTCCCCCCTCTCCCTCCTCTCTCCCCCTTCTCCCTCCTTCACAGCTCCTCTGTGTGGACTTCAACAGGACGTGGCTAGAGCTGGCAAAAACCCGCGTGGCATGCCAAGTCTTCGCCCAAATCACCCCAGCCATCACCACAATCCCAGCCACACCGCCACCCAGCCCTCAACCACCACCTCCCCTAGTCGAGTATATGGACCAGGGCGTGACCATGAAGGTGCTCCAGGGCGCGCAGTCCTGCCAGCAGTTGTGGCGGGCGTTTGGTGTTGACTCCCCCACGCGCTTCTTCCAGATGAATCCCGGGCTGTCGTGCGACTCCTTGCTGCCGTACAGCCCCACGCAGGCCAATGTGATGAGTAACGTGAGTTGGGTTGCCTGTGTGCGATGGGTTGGGGCCAAGTGGGGGGCCAAGTGTATGGCGTCGCCTCCACCTCCCCTAGTCGAGTATATGGACCAGGGCGTGACTATGACGGTGCTCCAGGGCGCGCAGTCCTGCCAGCAGCTGTGGCGGGCGTTTGGCATCGCCTCCCCGATGAGATTCTTCCAGATGAATCCCGGGCTGTCGTGCGACTCGCTGCTGCCGTACAGCCCACTGCAGGGCAATGCGATGAGTAAGGTGAGTTGGACGGGGGGCGGATGGGTGAGTTGGACGGGGGGCGGATGTGTGAGTTGGACAGCCTGTGTGTGCGGTAGGGGTGAGCAAAATCACCAACGCCTGTTCGGTTCGCCTCGAACACGTTCGAGACAAACGGAACAGGCTTTTTTTTTGGCCGTAAGTGTTCGGGGCGAACATGTTCGTGTTCGGGGCGCTGCTGCAATTTGCCCCGCGTCGAACACGAACGTGTTCGAGGTTCGCCCGAACACGCCTTCACAGGCGAACACCGAACACCCTTTTTGGCTAAAAGTGTTCGCCGAACCGAACACTGTCCGGTTCGGCGAACGGTTGTGTTCGTGCAGGGGCGAACACAAACACGTTCGTGTTCGCCCCTTGCTCACCCCTAGTGTGCGGTGTGGGTTAGGTGGGCAGGGTGGGTAGTGGAGAAGGAAACGGGATGGGAGATGGATGATAGGAAGGGGAGGGAGGAGGGATTGGGGGAGAGGGTGGGTAGTGTTTTGCATCACCACCCCGACACGCCTCTTCCAGGTGAATCCCAGGTTCCCGTGCGCTGCCCTGCTGCTGTAGAGTCCCCTGCAGGTGAATGTTGTGGTCTATGAATATGCACATAACACCCACATGCACATAACACCCACATGCACATAACACCCACATGCACATAACAACCACATGCACATAACACCCACATGCACATAACGCCTCTCACATTCATGGCCCCGCATGCATGTAAACCCTCTTACATGGTTGTGTGGTATAGGAGTGTGGTGTGGACGCAAGAGAGAGAGAGAGAGAGAGAGAGAGAGAGAGAGAGAGAGAGAGAGAGAGAGAGAGAGAGAGAGAGAGAGAGAGAGAGAGAGAAATAGAGACCGCAAGAGAGCGTGCAAGAGAGAGTGCGAGGGAGTGTGCAAGAGAGCGTGAAGAGAGAGTGCGAGGGAGTGTGCCAGAGAGTGTGCGAGAGAGAGTGCGAGGGAGTGTGCCAGAGAGTGTGCGAGAGACTAAGGAAATGGTCTCCCAGGAAATTGGCGTGTGAGAGTGGTTGTGTGAAGGATTGGGTCTGATGGTGTGATGTTCTGCTGCTACACAGTCCATTGCAGGAGACTCGGATGGGTGGAGAGAGGCCAGAAATTGATAGCCTAGTGTCCAGGGTGAATGGGGAGTGTATTGAAATCACTTCTGAGAATTCTCTAAAGTGATTACCATGTTTCCAGGGTGAATGGGGAGTGTGGAGAATGTGAGTGTGGGTGGTGTGGGTGTGGGGGATATGAGTGGGAGGGTGTGAATGTGGCTGGTGTTGTTGTGAACCTGTTTGCATTAAAGCAATACGCTGAAGTCGAGGGGTTGAGGTTTGAGTCACAAGATGAAGGGGGTGCAAGAAATATGTTGCTGGGAGTAGTTTCAGGGGGTGCCATGCAAGATTTTGTCAGAAACGGTGGGCTGTGGTGAGAGGGTTGCAATCTTATTCCTCACAGCCATTAAAAACATGTGTGTGTGCGTGCGTCCGTGTGCTGTCCATGCGTTCATGTATCGATGCGTCCCTGTGGCCATCCGTCCGTCCGTTGGACTCTCCTCTGTGTCTGTCGTGTATGTGTCTGTGTGAGTAAGTATGGATAAAGGTTATCTTATTAAGGCCTTGTTCTCCCCTTTCCATAATGTTCAAACTGATGAATGGCTGACAGATTTGTGTGGATGCTGTTGACGCCCGGCCTCTCTCCGGCATTTCATGTTCGACCAAGCGACCGTACAGTGTAAAGCGTGGAGACACATGCGGCATGTTGATCGTTAAGAGATACCGCCGCAGTACCGACATGTTTAGGTACCTTAACAATGGATATGATTGTACTGAAAATCGGTTGTGGACTGGGATGTTGCTTTGTTTACCCTAATTACCATCATCGCCGGAATAGATGAATTGTAATAAAACCATGTGACCCTTTTAAGTCACAAATCGTTTCTTGTGCCACCTTATGCACTCTACAAACGATTTTCAGAAGTGTTACGGTACCGTAAGTACCGTCATCACCCGGCCCTACGATATCAGAAATTTTCCCCTAAAATTCCTGATTTTCAGCCTAGTTTTGTATACCTACACTGATTTTTATGACACTGATTTTTTCAGCCTTTACTTCATAGCTAGCACTAATGTTTCAGACTTTTATCGAAGTGTACACTGAATGCACATTCCGAATCCTTCCCTTGAAACACCCAAGAGATTCAGTCAACCAACATTTCCACATTCTAGTTATCGAATAATGAGACACTGATGGTCGACAGGATGAACTGTCTCAGTGATTGGCGAAATTGGTACCGAATGGTAAGGTTGCCGTTTCGATTTTCTCGGCTGTCATGTTTCGTAAAGGCTACTCTCTTATACAAATGTAAATGTGATGGAACATTCAGGCTTGTACTTTTAGGAACTCTGAAGATTCAGGCTTTTTTTTTTAGGAACCCTGAAAATACAGGCTTTTTTTCACAGGGACCCTGATGCATCAACGTCCCTAAAAGTAAATCTGAGGGCGTGGCCGGATATAAGACAGTGTTGAATAGTAGACAGGGGGTCTAATATCCGGGTGTGTCATATAAACGGGGTAGCCTCATTATTAGTGTCAGAATCCCAACCACTAGACCATTGGGATAAAAGGGCTTGTTTCAGTAGCGGGTCAGTGCGCCCATAACTCCCCAGGCAAACGCGCCTGTAACCCCCCTTAGGATCGATCGGGGATCTCACAGTGTAGCTCTACTGACACCCCCCACACTGGGAGGCCCAGGACTGAGCACAGTGGCAACGGCCAACATGTGCATACACCGGGATTCGAACCCGAGATCGCTCTGATACCATGTCAGAATCCCAACCACTAGACCATTGGGATAAAACGGCTTGTTAAGTAGCGGGTCAGTGCGCCCATAACCCCCCAGGACAACGAGCCTGTAACCCTTCCCTAGGATCAATCGGGGATCACCAGTGGACCTCTGACACCCCCCCGCACTGGGATGCCCAAAGTGCACAGTGGCAACGGCCAACATGTGCATACACCGGGATTCGAACATGAGACCGCTCTGATACCATGTCAGAATCCCAACCACTAGACCATTAAGATAAAAGGGCTTGTTTCAGTAGCGGGTCAGTGCGCCCATAACCCCCCAGGCAAACGCGCCTGTAACCCCCCCTAGGATCGATCGGAGATCTCACAGTGTAGCTCTACTGACAATTAGACACCTATTTGTGTGTACGAGTTAAAGTCCGTAGCTAAAATAGTGACCCCCCCCCTTCTACTTCGGTCCATTTGAAGACACAAGTTTTTTTGGAACGTTTTGAGAGGTTGAAGTGCTATAAGTTTTGTTTTTTCACCCCCAGTCGAGTCTCGATGTGAATAGGGAACATTTGGAACTTTTCTACAATTTTGATTAGTAGCGACTTTCACTCACTTGCCTGTGCGAATTTGGTGCAAGTTTTCAATGCTATGTCTTCAGACAAGGAGTTGTCAAACTTCACATCAAGCAACAACACTGGCAAAATCCAGCGCACACACATATGCACGAGATGACAGTGGAACACCATAAAGGTTGTCCGACGAGCTAGCAGAGATGTGAAAAAAGTGTTTCTTTGGACTTGTAGTCGAGGCGATAGAACAGGGAGTTGAGAAAAAAAGAACGAACGGAAAAAAAAATGATGAACAAGGCGAGGAGGAACGACGGGATAGGAGGGGAGAGAGGCGAAACGACGGCATAGGAAGGGGAGAGAGGCGGAACGACGGGACGGGAGGGGAGGGAGGCGGAACGACGGGATGGGAAGGGGAGAGAGGCGGAACGACGGAATGGGAGGGGAGAGAGACGGAACGATGGGATGGGAAGGGGAGAGAGCGGGAACGACGGGATGGGAAGGGGAGAGAGGAGGAACAACGGGACGGGAAGGGAGAGAGATAGAACGACGTGATGGGAGGACAGTGAGGAGGAATGACGGGATGGACGGGGAGAGAGGAGGAACGGTACGGGACGGGATGAGAATGTGCGAGCGCGAATGGTACGGGAGACGAGGAACATGAGCGCGATGGCGAGGGGATGGGAGAAGGTGAGAGTGACGGGAAGGGATGGGAGAGAGCGAGATCGACGGGTAGGAATGGGAGAGGGCGAGAGCGACGGGAAGGGATGGGAGAGAGCGAGATTGACGGGTAGGAATGGGAGAGGGCGAGAGCGACGGGAAGGGATGGGAGAGAGCGAGATCGATGGATAGGAATGGGAGAAGGTGAGAGCGACGGGAAGGGATGGGAGAGAGCGAGATCGACGGGTAGGAATGGGAGAGGGCAAGAGCAACGGGAAGGGATGGGAGAGAGCGAGAGCAGCGGGAAAGGATGGGAGGGCTATTCAAAATGAGCGTGACGGCGCAGAGGTGGGTGATGGCAGGGGCGAGAGGAAGAGCGACAGGAGGGCGACTGGGCGAGAGCGCCACGGCAACGAGGTGGGTCATGGGAAAAGAGAGAGGAAGGACGGCGGTAGGGCTATACTAAACGAGCGGAACGGAAATGGCGTTGGAAGGGCGATGCGATAGGAGATGAAGTGGGGAAGGAGAAAGGCGACGGGATGAAGAGTGCGAAGGCGATGGGAGGGAGAGTGGACAGGCGACGGGAAAGAAAGTGTGAAGGCGACAGGAGGGAGAGCGCGAAGCCGACAGGAGGGAGGGCGGACAGGCGTCGGGAGGGAGAGCGCAAAGGCGACGGGAGGGAGAGCACTAAGGCAAGGGGAGGGGGAGCGGACAGGCGACGGGAGGGAGAGTGCGAAGTCCAAGGGAGGGAGGGCGGTCAGGCGACGGGGGAGAGCGCGAAGGCGACGGGAGGGAGAGCGGACAGGCGACGAAAGGGGGAAGGGATATCGCGAGGGCGACGAGAAGGAACGAAGGAAAAAGGGGACAACGAAGGCAACGTGAAGGAAGGGAGATAGTGAGGGCGACGGGAAGGAAGAGGGGACATCGAAAGCGAGGGGCGGGAGAACGGGAAGGCGACGGGCTCGGAGGGAACTCGCGAGGGCGAGGGGACAAGAGGGGTGAACGGGAGAATAACCGGGAGGGGAGACCGTGACGACGTCGGGAGGGCCGTCGCGTGTGCGTTTGCGAGGGCGACGGAAAGGCGACGGGACGGACTAGAGAGCGAGGCGTCGGCGGACCCCACCAGCAATGGCGAGACGGGAAACGGGCACTGCGCTACCAGGCCACGTAAACCTACATTTCACACTCTCACTAAGTCGACAATTTACGCACTCGTCGGTAATTACGTGGCTATGACACGAGCGCATGTGCTTTCAGCTCTACTACTTACTATGCTATGCGGAAACTAGTGATGAATGGAGTGACAGAAATCTAGTAATGTCAAACTCATATACTATAGTCTGTGTAGGCTATAGTGGGGTAGCTCATATGGGGTACAACACTTTAGGTTTGGTACTTGTACTCCTCATGTTGCTAAGTGCACTCATTCTCTCGTTCTAGTTTTCTCATGGTATCGAGCAGGTTCCCTCGTGGGAACTGTTCCTAGGGCCCACCATTTTTTTTTCCTGCCCGGAGCGCACTCAGCCCCTGCCCGAGTCGCGCCCCCTCTCACGGCCCCTAGCGGCCCCGTCGCGCCGCCCTCACGCCCCCCCCCCACAGCCCCTTAGCGGCCTCTCGCGGCCCGTCGCGTCGCCCTTGCGGCCCCGTCGCGCCGCCTTCGCGGTCCCGTCGCGCCGCCCTCGCGGCCCCGTCGCGCCGCCCTCGCGGCCCCGTCGCGCTGCCCTCGCGGCCCCGTCGCGCCGCCCTCGCGGCCCCATCGCGCCGCCCTCGCGGCCCCGTCGCGCCGCCCTCGCGGCCCTGTTGTGCCGCCCTCGCGGCCCCTTTGCGCCGCCCTCGCGGACCCGGAGCCGCCCTTGCTGGCCCCGTCGCCCTACCCTTGCGACCTAGCGGCCCCACCCTCGCGGCCTCGGCGCCCCCCCCCCCCCCCCCCCCCCCTCGCGACTTCGTCGCCCCCGCCCGCGACCTCACCGCCGCCCTTCGCGGCCCCGTCGCCACGCCCGTGCGACCCCGGCGACGCCCCTCGCGGCCCCGTCGCCACACCTCCGCGGCCCGGTCGTCACCCTTCGTGGCCCCGCCGCCGCCCTCAGCGGCCTCGTCGCCGAACCACCCTACCCCGCCGTCCCTTCAGCGGCCCTGCCGCCCTTCACGGCCCCGCCGTCACTACCGAGCAGCCGAGCCACCGAGAGCCGGCGCCGCCGAGCCGCCGTTGCCACCGAGCCGCCGAGCCGCTGAGCCGCCGAGCCGCCGAGCCGCCGTTGCAGCCGAGCCGCCGTTGCCGCCGAGCCGCCCTGCCGCTCACACGACCCGACCCCGCCCTGCTGCTGACTCGACCCGGCCCCGCCTTGCCGCTGACTCGACCCGGCCCCCTCACTGTAGCTGCTACCGCGGCCCCGCTGTCGCCGCCGTCGTGCGCCGACCCTGCCGCCGCCCGCCTAGCACCGGCCCTGCTCGCCCGGTGAGAGCCTGCTCTTTGTCTGGTCTTTACCTCCCCTCGTTCTCTACGAACTTGGTGAGTGGTGCTGACCTACAGGATGCGGGGGTTCACCAGTTCACTCCTGCGAGCCAGCGAGTGACCCACTGCACGGATGCTCGGACGGGCCGACACTTGGCCACGTTTACACGTCGGCCGGGGTCGAGCCTGTACACACTGACCACTGAGTCTCCTCCAGTCACTGCGTCTCGTCAGGTAGCTGCGTCGGGTCAGGTGTTTGCTGCAACGTCCAGGTCTGGTCCTGAGTCTGCCACCTGCTCGTGTCGCCTCCTGTCTCACGAGACTCTCCTCTGGCACCACCGCCTTGGTCACCCCTCCTTGCTTCGTCTCCGAGGCATGGCCTCCCGTGTCCTTGTCTCTGGTCTTCCCCGGTCCCTCCCTCCCCTTCCTCCGGGGCCTGCCCCTACCTGCCTCCCCTGTATCGAGGGGCGGCAGCGTGCTGCCCCTCACTCCTCCCAGTTTCCTCCGACAGAGGCCCCGCTGCAGACGCTTCACATGGACGTGTGGGGCCCGGCCCGCGTCCGTGGACAGGGTCACGAGCGCTACTTTCTGCTGGTGGTTGACGACTACTCGCGTTACACCACAGTCTTCCCCTTGCGCAGCAAGGGTGATGTCACTGAGGTGTTGATCGACTGGATCCGCGCAGCTCGTCTCCAGCTCAGGAAGAGTTTCAGCTCGGACTTTTCCTGTTCTGCGTCTGCACTCTAACAGAGGCGGAGAGTTCTCCTTTGGCCCTCTGCGAGCCTACTGTCGTGCACGAGGCATCCGCCAGACCTTCACACTTCCGGACTCTCCACAGCAAAATGGGATTTCTGAGCGCCGCATTGGCATGGTCATGGACGTCGCCCGTACGTCCATGATGCATGCGGCTGCCCCCCATTTTCTGTGGCCGTTTGCGGTTCGGTACGCGGCGCATCAGATCAACCTTCAGCCCAGGGTCTCCATGCCGGAGACCTCCCCAGCTTTACTGTAGACGGGGAAGGTTGGCGATGCCTCTGCGTTCCGTGACTGGGGATCTCGGGCGTTTGTCCGCGACTTGTCTGCGGACAAGCTGTCCCCTCGTGCTGCTCCTTGCGTCTTCCTTGGCTTCCCCCCTGACGCGCCAGGGTGGCAGTTCTACCACCCCACTTCTCGCCGTGTTCTGTCCTCCCAGGACGTCACGTTTGACGAGTCGGTCCCCTACTACCGTCTTTTCTCCTACCGCACTCCGTCCCTCCCCCCGCCACCGCTCTTCCTTGTTCCAGGTCCCCCCCAGGTAGACCCCCTTCCCCCTCAGGGTCCTGCCCCTTCAGGTGTGTCCCAGGTAGACGCAGTCGAGCCTGTCAAGGTCGCTGGTGACTCTGGTGCTGCTGGGGGTGCTACGACTGGGGGTGCTGAGCCTTGGGGTGCTGAGTCTGGGGGTGCTGAGCCTGGGGGTGCTACGACTGGGGGTGCTGATCCTGGGGGCGCTACGTCTGGAGGTGCTGAGCCTGGGGGTGCGGAGCCTAAGGGAGCTGGGCCTGCTCGTGTGGCGTCTGGCGGTGCTGGGCCTGGAGGTTCTCTGGGTGCTCCGTCTCGACGGGAGCCACTCTCTCCACAGGAGGTGCGTGAGTGGTTTTCCCGGCGCTGGAGGCGTGCTGCTGGAGCTGGAGGTTCTTCGGCTGCTGAGGGTGCTCGTGCCACGGGACCCGGAGGTTCTCGTACAGGGAGTACTAGAGCTGGTGGGCCTGCGGGTACTACTGGAGCTGGAGCCACTGCGTCTTCTCGTGGTCCCACTGGAGCTGGAGCTGCTGAAAGTGTTGGTGCTGAGGGTACTGCTGGCGGTACTGTAGGCGGTCGTGCTGGGGGTGCTACTGGTGCTGCTGGGGGTGCTACTGGTGCTGCTGCAGGTCCTGGAGCTACTGGAGCTGCTGGGGGTACTGGAGTTGGAGGTGCTGCTGGCGCTGGTGCTACCACTGGGGATACTGGTGCTGTCTCTGCTGTGTCTGGAGTCGCTGCGCGGCCTCGGCCGTACTTCGTTCCGCTCCTTGAGCAGATTCTTGGTCTCCCGCCTTCTACTGGTCCTCCTCCTCCCTTAGAGTGTCCACAGCCTGTCCCGTCGCAGTTACAGTTACAGCCGGCCTCCCCACTGCCTGCTCCTTCTCCCTACACTGGTCCTACTGGAGGTCTTGCTGAGTGTTGTGAGCTTGCGTCTCGCCCTGGGTCGCCTATCCGTGCTGCTCGCGCTAGTGGTCGTGGTTCGGGTCAGCGTCCTCCTCCTGTCCTTGGCACGCACCGGATGTCTCTGCGTCCGTCCACTGCTCCTCTGCGTGCCCCTTTGCCTTCTCCGCCTGAGTCCTCTCTTTCGGCTCTTGCCGACCCGGAGTCGGACTCTTCTCGTGCTGCCAGTCCTAATGTCACGCATCTCCTTGCTACTGTTGTCCCTGACCCTTCCTTTGAGTCCACTGCTACGTCTGCCCTAGTTGTTGAGCTCGTCGACTTTGCTGCTCGCTGTCGTCTAGAATACGCCGCTAGTCTTGTTGCTGAGTCTGAGTCTGTCTGTCCTCCGTCCGTCGGGGGTGAGTGTGCCCTTGGCACGTACGTCCTTGAGGACAGGCAAGAGGAGTTCCAGTGTTTGGCTGCTGCTTCACCTCATCTCGTGTCCGTACCGCTTACCCCTGAGTGAGACCCGGATGCACCAGACATCCCGACTCCGCGCTCTTACGCGGAGGCGATAGAGGGTCCCTACTCCTCTCAGTGGCAGGCAGCTATGGACGCAGAGATGGCTTCCTGGAAGTCCACAGGCACCTACGTTGATGAGGTTCCCCCGCCTGGGGCGAACATCGTCAGTGGCATGTGGATTTTCAGGGTGAAGCGGCCGCCGGGTTCTCCGCCTCTCTTCAAGGTGCGTTACGTGGCTCGTGGCTTCAGTCAGCGGCAGGGAGTTGACTACTTTCAGACCTTCTCTCCCACCCCG